CCCCCCCCCCCGAAAAAAAAGGGGGGTGAATACGAAATGAGTTTGGCATTGATGAGAAGTAAGACCAGAAGGAGGAAGAATAAGGGTAATTATGTGCAAAAACTCGGCATAACATAATGTTGAACATAAAAAGACAACAATGTTGTTCACGAATACAAAGAGTACGAACAAAGAGAAGATTGTAATTTTCACGTCTAAAATGCCATAGATAGCTGAGATACTTGAAAAAAAAAAACGTTGCCCGCACTGGGTCGTTGCACTACATTGATCCGCGAACCATTTCCTACAGAAACGGGTGTGAATGGTGATGAAATAATCTAGGAGGAGAGTGCGCGCCAAAAACAAAAAGTATAGTAGTTAAAAAAAAATTGAGTTTTTGATATAATGACCCGCTCGAGAAAAGGTCGGCAAAGTGTTCTTAGATAGCTTACAAAACAAGCGCGCCGCCGAAAAGCGAAGAAGCAAGCACAACAGCACCACAGACAATGGGTGCAAGACCAAAGCTCATAGGACGCACGTTAGCAGCTGCGCCAGCAGAGCTGGTGGGAGAGCCAGTAGAGGTAGGCGTCTTTCCACCAGAGGTAACAGCGCCAGCACCCGCATCACCGATATCTGGGGTGGAAGAACCGGCATCCTGAGATCCATCACCCTTGAGACCAGGACCATCACCGGCACCCTTGGTGAAGAAATCCTTGGCACCATCAGGCAGGCTGGGCAACTCGTTGCTCTTAAGGGTAACATCCCAGGTCTTGGACTGAGATGGGCACTGCGATGCCTGGCCGTTGGAGAGGTAGCCGCCGTCACCGGTAGGGTTGGGGGTACCCGCGAAAGCGGACTTGAGGGCAGTGAAATCAGGGAGTTCGTTGACATTGTTGCCGTCGATCTCGACGAGGCCGTACTTTGACTCTTCTTGCGAGTACTCGTAGACGAGACCACCGCTGTAAGACTTGGTCATCTTGGGGTCGTAGAGAGCCTTTACTTCTTCGAATTTGCGCGTGTTAGTGTTGCAGCCGTACTCGGAGAGGCTTTTGTAATGTTAGAAAATGCTCGTGCTTATTTTTTTTAGGTGTAAAGGGGAACTCACAAAATAGGGATGCTGTAGTTGGAAAACTTCTGCACCTTGATGTTCCAGCCAGATGTCTCGTACGAAGAGGGATCGCACCAGGAGTAGTCGTTGAAACCGAAGAAGTCGCTGCGGACGGAGTCGTCGCCGCAGTTCATGTAGTCGGCCATCTCATAACGGTTGGACTCGACGTCGGCGGCAGAGTAGCCGACGGGGACCTTGCGGAGACCACGGGCGTTCATGTACGACTTGAGGTCGCGAGTGACAGCCTTGACGTAAGGAGCGCAGTCAGTCGTCTTGTCGTCGTTGATGACTTCGTTGCCAGAGAAGAACAACAGAGTGTTGTCGTACTTGGCGAACATCTCGACGGTAGCGAACAAGCTCTGGAGGTAGACCTTGTTGTACGACTTCTGGGGGTTCGCACGGTTGATCGAGTACTTGGGAGTGTTGACGTCGAGAGCCAGGTAGATGCCGGCGTCGGCTAGGAGACCCATGCAGGTGTCGTGGTTAGCACTGTTGTCAACAGTGTAGACACGGACGGTGTTGATGCCGAGCTCCTTGAACTTGGAGATGTCACGCTTGCAGCCGTCCTCATCGGCAATGGGGTCCTTTGCGTCGGATGCGCCACCGGGCTGGTAGTCAACACCACGGATGTAGAAGCGCTCGTTGCCGGCCCAGAAAGCTGGCTTCAGTCAGCAATTGTAAAGGCGGATCAATTCACAGAGAACAACATACCATTTCCCTTGACGGTCACCGGGGTGATCTTGGAGTTGGAAGCACGCTTCTGCTCTGTCGGCTTGGCAGCAGCAGTAGCCGCTAGAGCGACTGCAAAGATGTAGGTCTTCATGATGCTAGATTTGTATCGGATGATGCGGATTACGAATCGTCGTTCAGTTCAGTAGAAAAGGCAAGCGAGTGCGGAGGATGGAAAGCGTAGTCGGGGAGACAGCGAGTAGAGCAACTCCCGTATAAAACGAGTGTACGAAGTTGCAATGGAAATTAGGTGAAAGTGAAAAGGGAAGAAGGAAAAAGGTGGCTTGTAGCTAGAGAGAAAGCGACCGACGCAATGAAGGGTTATCAATGAACAAGGACGGGGGGCGAACAAGTCGACAAACAAGATTAATACCGCTGGCGCTGGCCCCAGACAATGACAGATGCAGAAAGGCGACGCGTCCAATTTTAGCGGCACATACATCTTGCCCCGCTGATTGGCCACAAGTGTCCGTTACAGAAAACGCCAAACCCTGACTAAGGCGCCAAGATTTACTCAAGCGCAGACTAGGGCCCCTAGTAAGCTCTTCCAAGCCGTGGCAACGATGCTTGGATCGACTGCCCGCAATCCTTCACACTATGATTAAAAAAAACAGTGGGAACGAGGACACGCGTTAGCACGTCAATCACTTCTCCGTTGTCGACTACAATATCTCATCCCCACCCTTTTCTTGTTGTTGCAACGGCCGATCGGAATACACCATGCAAGCATTAACCCCCTTCCCCTTGTACCGTCATCACCCTACCTGGCGCCATGTCCCTCCCCCGGGCCCGAGATTAGCTTTCCTGGGACAAGAAGACGGGAAGGCTTTGTTAGTAGCATTTTTTTTGCACGAATGCAACGGGATATGATGACATGTTCCCGATCACAATAAACATTACCTGCATGTAATCATGCAACTTGACAACTGGGCCATGGAGACAAGAGACTTATTTCTTGCCTGCTGTGGGAAGGTGCCAAAACATACCGATGCTTGGTTTCAGCTTCCATACGTCTAGATCCACTTTTTTTGCTGATCGAATGATGCTTAGTGGTTCGAGCAAAGCGGTGCCTTTCGTCATCGTGTTTTATTTGAAGCCGCGTTGAGCGTCCCTGACTATCCGTATTTTAAACTATGGGGTTGGGGGGTGGTTTACGAGTTTGTGATGCGAGATGCGGCACTTTCTGCACATGGTAAGGTAAGCACACACGTGCATACGCCCTTTCGCATCTGGAATTAGGGTTATTAAATACCTCCATAACCTATCTGCATGTCTCCAATTTGGAACTGTTCGCGCTGTAAAAACTTTCTCTCTCTTTGGATTTGGAGTGGAGTGAGAGGGGAGATGCTTGCTTGCATTAGTAGCCCATCAACCTCACTCCACGTTCAACACGACTCGGCAAACTCCGTACTACCCAAAATCAATCTTCACATGCAACACCACCATCAATAATCCTATACCATATCACAATCCCACACCGTATCCCACCAAAAAAAAACACAGCCACACGACCCTACCCAAAAAACACACTGCTTCCACACGCGCTCTCGCCACCGCCGCCTCCCCCAAGCGCCCCAAAAATAGCCCTTCGTTCCCCCAGTCTCCTTCTAGACTGCCACTAAAAAACAAGAATACGACAAGCGCGCACCTCGTGTCTTCTACCACACTAAATCGCATGCAAACTTATCGCCATTCGCACCTGTCAGTGTCAGTCAGCCTCGTAACCGTGTTTTTTGGCGCCTTAATATTCTTGCTCGTATTGCGAGAGAAAGCATGTGATCATCCCTTTCCATGAATTCTTCATCTACACTAGATTACTGCAGGATGCCAATGTGCGATTTCATCGGCATCATAGTACTCGATTTTCCCTTCTCATCATGTCCGTTAAACTTGGCCCAGATACCCACGATTCGCATCTCTTTTCCTCGCTACACAACAAACACACAATGTAACAGCGTCATCATCTCAGAATTAATTACTTTATTATCATAATATAAGAAAGAAAGAAAGGTAGAAAAAGGAACCATATAAAGCCCCTCGCCTTTATCGCATACCCATACCCATTCATTCCCTCATTCCCTCATTCCCTCATATCCCCTCATTTCCATTCCCATGAGCCCGTTATGTACATACGTCATCACCACCCTCCAGTACACCTGCTATCCCACCTAATTCTTCTTCAACCCAAAGTAAAGTCCCAGCACGAGCGCGATAATGCAAATGATGGCAATGACGGTAAGAAGAATGTACCATTTGAGTTTTCGCGCGCGCCTCGCCGACTTGATACCCTCTTCTAGCTGCTTGTTTGCGTTTTCCGTATCGTCTTTGACTTGGACGGTTTGCTGCTCGGCTTGCTGGATTTGCGGTTCTTGGTACATGACTTGCTCGTTGAGTTGGGTGAAGAGGAGGGCGAGCTCGCTCATTGTCTTTTCGATGCGCTGGATGTCGTTGTGGCGGGCGCGGACGGCACCGAGGACGCTTGCTGCTTGGCCGCTACGGTTTGACTTGAGCTATTGACCTGTTAGGCGGAGTGTTCTTGCTATGCACGTCTCGATTCACACTTACAGCTTGGGTAAATATACCCTCGTCACCCAAGTCGGCATTGGCTACCTCTTCGACTTCGGCATCTGTAGCATCTGGGTTGATGATACGATATTGCCTGCCAATAGCCTCACGGTACCTCTTGGAATAATCAGCCTCCTCCTTTTGAAAGTCCTCGAGCTGGCTCTTGAAGGTCCTCTTGAGTGCCTCGACCTGAGACTTCTTTGTCCTGTCATTGGGGTCGCGCAAGGCGTCCTTCTCCAGAAACTTGATCTCGTCCTTGATTTGTGTGTTCCTGATCTGCGTGTTGGTTACAACGGCCTCGAGTTCAGCACTGGACCGGTTGTCGGGCGAGGAGAGCATGCGCTGATGGATATTGGCAATGGTTTGGATGTCCGAAGTAAGCTGACCGATGCGCTGCTTTGCGCCTTCGATCCGCGTGAAAAAGTCATCTCGGCTTAGAGGCTGGGACCCAGGCGCCTCCATGGTATTGCCTTGGCCAGGCAAGCCGTTGAGAGGTACGTCTGTATGAGGGACGTTTTGCCCATTCGTTTGCGCTGGGCTCAAGGCACCAGCCTGTGAGTATTGCGACGGCTGTGAGTAATTGGACTCGCCATGGCGCTGGAGAGGGGCTGGAGGGTTTAGCTGCTGCTGCTGCGGCGGCTCGTCATACTATGCTGTCGCATTAGTCTTGTCTTGTCGTGTTATGGAATGCGACGTCTTACACCTCCGCCATATGGGTTGGACGAGCCATAGCCGCCGCTCCCGCCGTATGGATTCGAATGCGCACCATATTCTTCGGCCTGGCCGTAGGGATTCCCACTGTATTGCTGGTAATTCTGCGACATGTCGGAGATTGCTGGGGTAGCTTGGTAGCGAGAAGAAGCGATGGTTTCGGGATGCCGCGGTGGAGCTGAAAGAACAACCGCGGAAGCTACGGAAGAGAAGTGCCGTTGGGGTGCAGGCTTGGCTGCCTTGCAATTCTTGTATAAGCCGAGGCTGACAGCTTAAGAATCAAGATGCAATCGATTCGAGGGCTTAACAGCAATTATCTTGAGCTCGTCGCAAGCTTGTTTTGTTGTGGGGAGACCAGGAAGTTAAATGACTGCGAGACCCTGTTGAACCCGCCCAGCCTTCTGAGCCGCGCATAGTCACGTCACCAATGGGACGGGAACGGGCAAACTCCCGAGGCATGCTCTTTTGGCAACATTCCCCTTGTGACATCTGCACGTTGTTGTGACCGCGATGCGAACATGCACACACACACACACACACACACACACACACACACACACACACACACACATGCCTTTGGCAAGTTCAGAATGCTACTACGCTTCTGAGACGACGCGCACATTGAAACCACAGTCTTACGATGGCTGTTCTTGAAGCTGTCTTGAGAGTCTGACATGTGACGTAATGCTGATCACCCAATCCATCTCTGTTAGGTAATCTACAAGGCGATTTAGTATCTCGAACCTTATTCCCGAAAGCTCTTGTCCGTGTGCAACATCCTCAGTTGTTCAGCTTCGAAGCGATATCCAAAGAACCGTAGAGTTATGCGCCTGCTTTTTTAGTACCTGACCTTGCGCAAAAGGGAAAAGCACGAACCCTCCAAAAAGTAAAGGAAAACCACCATCATTTCTTTTCTATCAAAAGAACAAAAGTGCATAAGCCTGCATCATCCCATATCCTACGGTGGTCAAAAGGAAAAAAAACATTATAAAACATCCTTCACAAACTCCCTTTTACTTCCTTGTACTATCCCCATTACCACTCCCACCGCCGTTCGCACCCCCAACCATACATGTCCTCGCATCCTCGAGCTCAGCTACAACTCTCTCTTCCAACTCACTCGGCGCATCCTCTCCCTTGCCCTTGGTGCGATTCAGCATGTCCAACTCCTTCTCATCAACCGCAACAAGACGTTCTCTGAGCGCACTCTTACGCGATAACCAACTCTCCACATCCTCTTTAACAGCGTCCTTTTCCCATTCCAGAAGCGCCACTTCGTTGGCTTGAATACCCAGCTTAGGCCCTTGTTTGCGCACGTTCTCTAAGATCGCGGCGATAAGGGCCAAACTGTGGATTTCAGATGCCACAGAAAGCGTGATCTTGTTGCTGTTGGCTGTGTAACGAGACGATGAATTCGATGAGTTGATGCTTGATGCCGAGCGGGCCAATTGTTCAGGAAATTGGTTGAGGAATGAGGAAATCTCGCCAGCAATCGGAGGCCCGACGGATAAGAGGAGGTTGAGGCAGAGGGGAAGGATTCCCTTGGTCCAGACAGAGTACATGCGAACCGGGCTGTCAAAGGGACCGGTGCCGTTTACGCGACGGTAGTAGTTCATAATGTTTGCCGTGTTGAGTTGGCTGAGGATACCTTCGACAGCCATGGTCTCGGCTAGAGCTTGGATGCTGGATAGCGAGAGCAAGAAGAGGATGCTTAGCTCGCCGTAAATAGGATCGTCCACGCCATTGTGTGATATTGCGAGGCGATCGGCCCATGAGAAAAGGCTGGTGGCATAGCGTACTGTGTTGTTATTTGCAAAGAGAAGCGCTGCTTGTTGCTGCCACTTGGACATTTCTGGTATGGCGATGATACGCTGTAGCAGCGCAGTTAGGAGAGCAAAGTCTGATGGTAAGACAGACAAGGGTTCCGCGTGTAGCTGTGTGGCCAAGCTACGGAACCCCTTGGCTACTGTATCGGTCAGAATTTCGAGAAGCTGTGTGGAGATGGGCTCAGTGTAGCTATTGTGACTGCTCGGCATAGTGCCACGGAAGCTTGAGCGGAAAGAGGCATCGTTGGACTGGTCGGTATCCTCAATCAGATGGAAGTGAAGAGCGAGGTAGAGGATGCGTAACAAGGACCGGTAGTAATGGACCGAGTCGCTGGAGAAGACACTATCGAAGTCCGGAGTAGAGGCGCGAATGGCACTCCGTATTGGGCTAAGCAATTGACGCGCTTCTGTAGTTCGAACCTTGGCCTCTACGAGCTTCTTCAGTAAAGCAAATGCCAGATCCGCTCGCACGACCATGAGCTGACCAAACAATGCTTCCGGGAGGTTCGACTGGGTATTGGCAGTCATGCACTTTTGAACAACACCAATGAGGACCTTGACGATTCGCTCGTCCTTCGCTACCACCTGACCAAGCTCCAGAGCCAACAGTTTCCAGCCGTGAAGTAACAAGACTTGGGATTCTACGAGTCCTAGGTTGTAGTTTGCCTTCTCAACTTCAGATGCGAAACCCGTGCCCTCCCTAGGGCCAGCCCACTTGCTGTTGAAACCCAGAAGTTGCTGAGCGAGATCAATGTCATAGAAGAATGCCCGTCCGAAGGTCTCAGGGTATAAAGTGGTCCGCTTGAGGTTCGCTAGAGAGACACCAGGGTACTGTTGCTCCAGGTTCTGCTTCAAATATCCGTGCAGCGACGTACTGTAAGATGGCAGATCCAAAGCAGTATCTTCCAAGTACGTCAAGCTGGGAACGATGTCTTTCAGTACGGTAATGTCACCGACCTGTCGCGAGCTGTGGAGGTACATGGCAATGACTTCGCAGGCGAGAGATGCGAACTTGTTTTGGAACGATCGCTCTAGTGTCTCCTCATTACTGCTAATTCGCGGTTGTTTAGACTGTTTTGCCATCCATTTGAGGAATGCGAGCAACTTTTGAATCAAGTCTTTACGCTGCCGTAAATCGCCCATTGCCCATGACCAGTTGTTTTGCGCTGAAGAAACGAACTCGAGCATGGCTGTAAATAGCGGCCATGAAACGCCAGCAGCTTCCTTTTCTGGGAGAGTCATACTAGACAACGCATCGAAAGCTCGCGTGAGCAGGGCTTTGTTCCTTGAATCTTGCGCCACGTTTCTTTTGCTTCGAATTGTTTCTCGTGGAGTGTTTCCGGTAAGCAAATACAGAGAGAACCACTGCTGCTTGCACGTTACTACAGCTGAAAGTAAGTTCCACACGTTCCGTTGGATGTCCACGATCTTTAGTGGCTCATCCAGTCGAGAAAGCACACTGAGGAAGTTCTTCGCAGTTCGTGGCCCCAGATGGCCTAGTAACGAAGGCGGTTCTCGCTGCTCAGTCTTCTTGTCGGCCATCTCTGAATCTTCTTGGGTGGTAACACGGACCGCGCCACGGACCAGAGCTTCCAACAACAGCACAACCTGGGACTTCCACTTGTCACTCGTGGCGTACAGTCGGGCGAGTAATGGTGTTGCTTTGAAGAGTTGTTGCTCCAGATGGGTCCAGGGTTTGTTAAGTAGCATGGCAATTCGGACAAGTAGGTCGGCAAATGCTAAGGTGCTTTGGGTCTGTTGAGTCCATAGTGCACCTGAAGTCGTAAGCAAGGTGTTGTCGTTGGGGCTGACCCCGATGATCAAAGATGTCATGAGCGGGTTTGTAGGAAGGTTGGTGTCGGAACCAGCAAGATAGAGTTGAGTAAGATATTCGGCGATGGGTGCAATTGATTTCGTGAGCTTAGTAGACAGCTTTGGCGCATCGTCTACGCTGTATGCAAGACTCAAGATTGTGGTAAAGACTTCGCAAATGGCAGTGTTGATTTCGGGGCGGTGGTCCGGCTGCGAGTACTTCCAGTTGAGCGAGTTCTCATATATACTGGCAAGAGTGCGACCAAAAGTGAACAGAATGGTGCTCATGATCTTGTCCGAAGTACCGCTGTCAGCGGGAGCCGATGCATTGAACCGACTGAGTGCCTTTGTAGGGACTTTGCGGGACACGGATCGATCAACAGAATCCTTGACAAGACCCTTGTAGAGCCGAATACATCCAAGAAGGAAGTCGTATCGTCCAAGAACCATCTCAGTGCTGATTAGGATGGTTGCCAAGCTTCCGTTGCCATCGCCCTCTAATAATCTACTCCTGGCGAGCCACGGCCATACTCTTTGAGGGGACACAATGACCAAAGCTTCCAAGAAATGAGTGCAGTTGACCAATAGCTCCAAGGACACATCGTTGCTTGGTTCCTGACAGAGATACAAGAGTTCTTCTTCGAAAATTGCGAGCACAATGTTAACAGTGTCCACGCTGCCCTCAGCTCCTATGCCAATTGCCTCTAGAAGCTCGGGTGAGCAGATGCCCTCGGACGAGTGCAAGGACGAGTGGATCAGGTCAGCGAAAAGGCCAATGACTTCTACAACATTCTCACGAGACGCGCGTTGCTGGGTAGCAGTCTCGACTTTGCTGCTTCCAACGGGATATGTCGAGAGAAGTTCAACAAGGTACGATAAAGTAGAATGTTGGTGATGCCAGACTGCTACGTATGGCTGTGAGTTGTCATCAACTATGATACCCTCTGTGCCAGCCGGAATAGTAGAGAAGCCATGTGCGTGTCTTGAAGTGCCCGAGGCCATCAAGCGACGCTGGGCACCAAAAGTGGATGTGCCTGCAGAAGAAAACAAGGGGAGATCAGCGGTAAGTTCTACCCAGTTGGCATTCTCCTCTTCACGCGTTAGTTGATAGTCATGGAATCCATCTGGAAGACGTTGCATCAAGCGATTGTGATTCGCAAGCTTATCAACAAACGAAGGCATGCCATTCTGCATCGTCTTGTCCCCACGAGTCAATGCGCTGCAGAATTTCAGAAATGGTGTCATCTCATAGGGATATCGCAAGCGGGCTTCGTTGAGCAACATTGGCCTCAGGATGTATTCGTCCTCAAGGAAGTATGCCACAATCGGATCGGCGTGTCGGGCAAATTGACCATTGTCCCACCGGCGAAACGTGTTATCGCCAGCCAGAATGGTGTATGTTGTGACAATGAGATCTGGACTATATGCGACGATCTCGCTCCCAACAGCAGCGCGAACTACGTGAAGGAACAACAATCGAACTCTGTCCTGAGATATCCGATCAATGGACGTGCCAAACGCAGGGAGACTGGTTTCGACAAGTTGGTTGATGATGGCTAGTACACCTGCTGCTGAGCTGACTGTAGCCAGGTCTTCGTATGGCATCTTGCCGTCGAATAGCTCGTGGTTCTCGAGTTTTGTAATTACCAAAGCAGCCTCCTCAAGGGAAGAGGGCTCGGATTCGGTGTTTCCGGCGCCATTTGATGATTCGAGGAGACGGTCACGTTCTTGCTCCTCGTAGCTCGCACGGCTTGTAAGTTTCCACGTTACGAGGGCCCAGGCAAACATGGGTGGTGTGGCAGGACTGGCACCCAATACCTTGGCCTCTCCGAATATGGTCGTGATGGTCTCCACAACATTGGTGTTTAAGATGTACGACGAAGAATGCCAGGTGTTGCAATCGCCAGATTCGAGATCGTCCATAATCTTGTCAACCTTCAAGATAGTCAGGGACATGAGTGAAGTCAAGAGTTGAATGACGGGGATAAGAGGCTCCTGGCGAGCGGTGACTGCGGGAAATTCGCGAAAGAAGCCGCGGAAACTAAAGGCTTTGAGCCAGTCTTCAATCGTGGCCGCCGGAAGGAATTCTTTTGCAACCAAATCGGCATGTACTAGTGCCAAGTGGAGAATGTGTAGCAACTCGGTGGTTTGGGCAACGACCCACTTCTCGGATGCTGCTTCGAGTATTGAATCGTCCACATTCCACGCATAGCCGGTATCCAAGGAATCACATCTCTTTGAGAAGGCCTTGAGACATTCGTCTAGTGCCTTTCCACCCGAGGGTCCGTCCTGTGCTGTCGCGATAGTCTGGCCGAGCTCTTCAATCCATCCGGCGCCAATGCTGAGGTATTCGGTGCCATATATGGTCTGATTGCGCAGATTGGATGCGCAGCCCCACGAGACCAGAAGCTGGCTTATGCGAATGATGGAGGCACAGGTCGAGTGGTAGATGTCGAGGATGTGCAGACGGCGCTGGTTCTTTGTATCGAGGTGGGCGGTCTTAGAAGCGAGCGGTGTTGCGAGGAGGGACGAGTTTGGGACAAAGGTCGAGGCGCCTAGGTTGGCAATTCCGGCCGCGTCTTGCACACTGAGCGCCTCCTCTTCCGTCAGACCACTCAGCAGCTGGGCGGCAGGGCGACCCTGCCATTCCTGCACAACAAGCTGCAAGGCTGCGTATTCCGAGATTTGCGCTTCCTTGGCTAGCCAAAGGCTGTCTTCTTTGATCTCCTCTACATCATAGTGATCGCTCTGGGCTGGAGTGACGCTGATAGGCGCTGTCTTGGATTCAAACTTTGATTTTTCCTGCGACGACGGGTCTGGGAAGGGCCGCCATGGGTGGGTGAGGGTGTCGATGTTTTCTTTGGCGGAGAGGAAGGCGCGTAGGGCGTCACTTTTGGACGCGGTTACAGGGTCACAGAGGGCGCGGTATGCGACGTTCCAGGTGCTGGAAGAGTGTGTTAGAAGGGTTGTGGGTGGTGGAGAGAAAGAGTACGAGGCGGTAAACATACACCAGCTGCTGCTCGCCGTTGAGGCACTTTGCCAGGTCGAAGTCGGGCGATTGAAGGGGGGCCATGTTTGCGCTGGGGTGCGCGACGTGTAGGCCAGCTAGCCAAAGGCCATGAAGGGGGTGTTGGGGCGCGGGTGGGCAATGGCCGTCTGTTTGGCGTCGACGTGAATGTCTGTATAGAATGTCTGCACGGTCGCCAAACCCAGAGCTCACGCGAAAGTCGGGCTAGCACGTGCAGGGATCAGGACCACCCAACTTTGCCCTCTACGTCCATTACATGTGGCCATGGCATGTTATCGTCTCAACACGCCGGCATAATGCAGTGAAATGCAGTGCAATTTAGTGTAGTGTGATCGCATCCCGTTACTTGTGTATTGTACATGTCTGCAGCATGTCTGCCGTGGTTTTCCTGCCCTGCAATGGCACTCAGGACTAATGCGTGCCACCTCCGTGTTAACTCCGCAGCCTCAATATACATCTCATTGACACATCCTTGACTCACCTCACCCCACCGCACTTCCCGCCCATACTCTCTTTTCCACCGAGCCTCCGGCAACTGCGTAATACCCTCCTCCAGCACCTGCATCTCACCTCAACACCCCACCAAATACAACGTGTATCGCCGGCAAAGCACCGAAGTCTTGTGCCGTTGCCCAAGTGCCGGAGGCGGCCCCGATAAAAAGTTATATACCACCTTTCCTGGCCCGTTGTCGGAACAATCTTACTACCTCCACCAAAATGTCACCCATCAGCTTGATTGACCACTCGCCTCGCAATCCCAACCCCTCTCCGCCGATACCCACCGCCTCCAATGTCATCCTCATTGACAACTACGACTCTTTCACCTGGAACGTCTATCAGTACCTTGTCTTTGAGGGTGCATTCGTAACTGTCTATCGCAATGATGAGATTACCCTTGATGAGCTCATCGCAAAGAAGCCCACTCAGCTTGTCATCAGCCCAGGTCCTGGACACCCGGAAAAGGACGCTGGCATTAGCAATGCAGCCATTAAGCACTTCAGTGGCAAAATTCCGATTTTAGGCGTATGCATGGGAGAGTGAGTTCCTGCCCTTTTCTTTTCCATCGGTTGAATCTCGTGTTTGGCATTCGTTGTGCAGTGTCTTCGAGCAATGCCGCTACATGCTATCGCGAAGCCTTGTATGGTGTGGACGGCACATTATTAACACACTGCAGACAGTGCATCTTCTACAGCTACGGAGGCACCGTAGACGTTACTGGTCAGATTCTCCACGGAAAAACATCCCCTCTCAAGCACGATGCCAAGGGTGTTTTTGCAGGCGTGCCCCAGGATGTACCAGTTACTAGGTATCATTCTCTTGCCGGTACTCACGGCACCCTTCCAGACTGCCTTGAGATTACTGCAACCATTCCCGCAAATGCAGATGCCGAGATCAAGGAGGTCATCATGGGCGTTCGCCACAAAGAGTATGTGATTGAAGGCGTGCAGTTTCATCCAGAGAGCATTTTGACCGAGCATGGACGTCTTATGATGAGAAACTTCCTCAAGATGCAAGGAGGCACGTGGACTGAGAACGACCGACTGCAGAAAGAGGCACATGCCCAGGCAATTGGAGCTGCTTCCAACGACACTGCCAACGGCGCAAAGAAGGACAAGCAGACCTCCATCTTGGAAAAGATTTACGATCACCGCAGGGCAGCCGTTGCTGAGCAGAAGAAGATCCCCTCTCAAAGACCTATCGATTTACAGGCTGCATATGACCTGAATTTGGCCCCGCCGCAGATCAACTTTCCGGAACGTCTTAGACAGTCTCCTTTCAGACTCTCGCTCATGTCTGAAATCAAGCGTGCGTCGCCTTCCAAAGGTATCATTTCGCTGTCGACGTGTGCGCCTGCTCAAGCCAGATTGTATGCCAAGGCTGGCGCCAGCACCATTTCCGTGCTCACAGAACCTGAATGGTTCAAGGGTAGTATTGAGGACCTCAAGGCCGTTCGACAGAGCATTGAAGGCATGCCCAACCGGCCTGCCGTGCTGCGCAAGGAATTCATCTTCGATGAGTACCAGATCCTCGAGGCTAGGCTTGCGGGTGCGGATACCGTGTTGCTAATTGTCAAGATGCTAGAGGAGCCGGTCCTGAAGAAACTCTACGACTACTCCAGATCACTTGGAATGGAGCCCTTAGTTGAGGTGCAGAATGCTGACGAGACTGAGATTGCAGTCAAGTTGGGCGCCCAGGTTATCGGTGTGAACAACCGGAACCTGGTAAACTTCGAGGTCGACATGGAAACAACGAACCGCCTGATAAATATGGTCCCGAAAGAGACAATCCTGTGCGCGCTGAGTGGTATTGCTGGCCCCAAGGATGTAGAGCCGTACATCAAGAGTGGGGTTGGTGCAGTCTTAGTTGGAGAAGCGCTTATGCGGGCGTCAAACACTGCACAATTCATCTCAGAGCTCCTAGGTGGAACTACTACCGAGGAAGTTCGGGCATCTTCTGGTCCAATGGTCAAAATCTGTGGGACACAAAGTGTAGAGGCTGCTGTAGCTGCGGTCGAAGCGGGAGCCGATCTTATCGGCATAATTCTTGCTCCTGGACTCAAGCGAACAGTAACAGCAGAGACGGCCCTTGCGATATCTGAAGCAGTTCACAAAACCAAGAAGCCGAATGTCTCAAAATCAGGGCTCCTGGCCGACTCAAAGACCGCGTCCGACTTTTTTGATCATGGTGCGTCACGACTTGTTGGAGGCGATAGTCGTGCGCTGCTCGTGGGAGTCTTCCGCAATCAGTCGCTAGAGTATGTGCTTGAGCAGCAGCGGTTACTAAATCTGGATGTTGTGCAATTACACGGCCAAGAGCCACTTGAGTGGGCGAAGCTTATCCCTGTTCCTGTCCTGAAAGCATTTAAACCGCAAGACCATGGTATCGGCACAAGAGGTTACCATGCTCTTCCCTTGCTGGATGCTGGGTCAGGAGGCTCTGGCCAGCAACTGGAATTGACAGACGTCAAGGCAGTATTTGCCAAGGATGATGGCATCAAGATCATACTGGCAGGAGGCTTGAACCCAGACAACGTACAGACAACGCTCTCTGGGCTTGATGAGTATCGAGACCGGGTCTATGCAGTTGATGTCAGCAGTGGTGTTGAGGAGGATGGTCAGCAGAGCTTGGACAAGATCCGTTCGTTTGTGAAGGCGGCTAAGAGTTTGTAAACAAGCCTCATGAAGACGCATTGTTGACAAGGTATCTAGATCGAGGCTTTTCACTTGAATAAAACGTATTTAACAACACCTTGCTTCTAGATTTTGACTGATAGGATGCAATCTTGGTGTTCTAACTAGGCCTCAGTGCTATCCTGCACTGATGTATGGGACGGTTTATTGTGAAAAATGCGGTCTGAGGAGGGTTGAATGTATGAGTTCACAATGGTATTTTACCTTGTAGCTGCAGCGTCACCGCGTAAACAGATCCAGTATCACCCTGAGCACCGAAAACCACCACAAGGTAAAACAACTCGCAGAGATAACGCAACTAGCTCTGAGACAAGTAGGCGGTGATCTCGTCTATATCAGCACTACAACCATCTCTTCAGCACTGCTATCCAGAGTACTCCTCCCCCACCCCCAATCGCTACAATGGGTATTCTGAAAAATCTCGTCATCGCCACCACAGGCACTCATGTCTACCCACTCAAGCAAATTCAAGGCTGGATCGAGCGCAATGGCGGCCGTTACTCGCCCACCGTTCACCAGGGCGTCACCCACCTCCTCGCTAGTGAAGAAGCCTATAAATCCAAACAACGCACCGAAGCAGTTAGCCAAGCGCTCTCCCTCGGTATTCACATTCTCAGCTACGACTGGCTCGACGACTCCCTGAACGCTCGCAAGAAACTCCCCGTCAAGAGTTATGCGCGGGAGGTTCTGAGCGACAAGCGGCGCGTGGCCAAGAAGCTGAAGAGACTTGGGGCCGAGGCTGATAGTAAGAAGTTTCGCGAAGGATGCGAGGAGATTAGGAAGTTGACGGGTTCAGGTACGTCTGAGACTTCTACTGCTACTAGGTGCAAGTCGAGGAAGAGTAGAAGTTTTTTCTTTTCTTCTTCTTCTTCTTCTTCTTCTTCTTCTTCGACGCCTGCTTCTGCATCCATACCTCCTACACCTTTTGTATCCGCAAAAGAGGATCTCCTACGTAGAAGAGCGGAGAGAGCAACGGCGTTACAAGACGCTGAAGTGAGGGGCCCTCCAAATCCCCCAACGTTGAGCTCAAACTCCACATCTGCCACCCTTTCTTCCACACCCGGCGATTCAAGAACACAAGCTAAGTCCCACTGGAAAGCCGAATACCACTACTACCAAGACCCCACGGGTTTCGACTACAAAGTCACACTCGCCCAGCACAACGTCTCCAACACGCTCACCGCAAAATACCACATCGGACTATTGGAAAGCCACACAAAGCCGCACACATACTGGGCTTTAGCACAATACCAACCCCTCTCCACGAACACCACCCCACCCCCAAACGACCCGAAGAACCCAGACACAACCCCCGCCGAATCCGAAAAAGCCCGCCTCCTCTCCCTCATCTCTTCCCCCGCTCCCCTTCTCCCCTCCACCCCCCACACCACCCCCCTCTGCCCCCGCAACTCACCCTACGCAATAGCATGGCGCTCCTTCCGCCACGCCTTCCACGACCTCTGCCTCATACCCTGGGAATCCCGCTTCGACGCCCACACCGCTTTCGTGCAAAAACGCGAAGCAGCACGGCTGGACGTCGAGCCGTATAGGTATGTGAGACCGAGGTTGGGTATGCCCATTGGCGTGTTTCCACAAGCTGGCGATGTATTCGGTCGGGAAGGAGGAGGAGGTGGTGGTGAGGATGCGGAGTATGTAAGGGGTCAAGTGGGGGTTTTGTTGGGAGAGGGGGGATTGAATGAGAGGGGCGCTTTTGGGGCGGTGGTGCTGGAGGAGAGGCGGAGGATGGAGGAGGAGATGAGGAGGAAGGTGGAGAGTGAGGGTGCGGGTGAGGTGGTGGAGAGGAGGAAGAGGAGGGAGGGGAGGAGGCTGGGGGATGGGGTTGATGGCAGGGGCTTTGTTGCGCCGGAGTTTGCGCATTTGCTGAGGGGGACTGGGGGGAGAAAGTGATGTGGGAATGTACGGGGAGGGGAAATGGAGATCTGGGAGGGAGGGAAGGAGATGAGTTTTGGCTTTGGTTGCTGGTGGTTCTTCTATCTCATCTTGGTATGCAGTTAGTTGAGGGAATTTTTGAGAGTTTGCTTTTCAGTACAGAACTGAAGGTATCTTCCGTCTTTTTTGCTGGGAAGATGCCGTTCATGATATATCTCATTTTGACATCTACAGAGATGGATCTCTAATCATATTTTTGCATCTATAACTTTTCTTTTCTCGTGAAATTCAGCAAGATACTCATCTCAGGCACCTCCGCCCCCAGAAAGATAGAAGAAATCATGAGAACGAAATACCATGCATGCTTGTTTAATTTCCTCAAAGTAACACCCCCTTCCTCACCCCAAACCCAACCCAAAAACACCAATAAACCCCAGTCATTATCTAATACTGAGCCGTACGACTCAACCCGTGAAAATTGTTACCACGTCGGTTCATCAGAGATACTAACTTGATGCGCCGCGTCAATAGCGATGTGGACAAATGCATCATTTTCGGACTCCGAGTCGGTATCGAAACCTGTATCTCCTTCAGTATCATCACTGGCTGTTTGCTGTTTTGTACGTTCTTGGCGGAGCAATTCGCGGGAGCGTCTGATATCTTCCTGCACAGTCGTTGTTGGGTCGGCGAAGCGGTGGTGGGGTTTTAATGGCGAGCGGGGGATTGGCGAAGCGATGCTTTCTTTCTTCTTTTGTGAAGTGGGCTCGGGATTCGGGGTTTTGTCTTCGGTACCCGTGTTGACCTCGTCACCGATCTCGGAAGTGTATTCATCGCCTGGGACGTCACGGTTTCTGAGGATCAAGTAGAGGCCTTGCAACGACTGGAAGATGTTGGAGATCGTCTCTAGTTGTGATCTGGATATGAGGAACTTCAGGACCATGTTTAAGCCGAGGGTTGTTATAATGAAGGCGAAGATTAGAGCGGATCGTATGTTGGGAAAGATTTCGGGGTACTTGTCGAGCGTGAAGGCTGCTGCGACAGAAAGATGTTCTATCATCATGGATTTGATCAGATACGTCGCTTCCGTTCCGGTGTGAGAATGCGACGAATCGCTCTTGATGGTTAGACTGTAGATGAACGTAATGACAGAGAGACCCAGAAAGAATATCTCAAGATAGACCACTACGCGTAGTGTTTGAGAGATGATCGATCTCATTTGATCGAGGGTGGTATTGAAAGTAAATAGTTCCGCTGTCCATTGCTCAAGTTTCTCGAGAGTCTCTGGCGAAACGTGCAACTCCTGAGAATCCGCGGTCGAACCAGCCGGGTAGAAGAGACGGCAAGGCAGGTCTGGTTGACACTGTAGAGCAAATCCAAACGGAACCTTGGGTAGAACGCGCTCGGAAGAGATGGAATCATCGGTGCGCATGTACTCGTTGGCGGCTACATGTTCAGTACGAGAAGTATCTTCATGCTGATCAGAATCCTGACGTCGGCAGAAAACCCACCCAAGCTTCTGCTTGACAAGTTCGAGAGTTTTCTTAGCAATTCGGCGAGCACGATAGCTCAAACTTGCCCAATACGTCAAGACGGCTTCTTGTGGAGTCGGCTCTTCATTCACAACCTGTGGTGCATGCTGCAATCTACCACAATTCTCCATCGTCCACTCCATGACCTGCTCACGGACATCAGGATACCGGAACCCGAGGCCGATGAGTTCGTGATTCGCTCTCTCGAGCCCACGAACAAGGCAATCTTCGTGAGTCTCCATGAAACCGCGGTTCAGCTCACTAGACAGAACATTGTCTAGACGGCTGTAGACGATCTGCTCCTTGCGCAAGGCACTCGAGTGCGCTTGAAGCTGGTCATTGAATCGCTCATACTCTGGTGAAATCAAGTTGAGGACGCTGGCGACACTGATCTGGAAGGCGAAGAGAGTGGTAGTGAGATAGACGAGGCAGGCCGTGAGAAGCATGACACGTGGACGTGCGCGATGAAGCTTGGTCCTGGGCGATGTGACCACCTTGCGTGACTTGGTTGTGACATCTTCCCCGGGGCGTGATGGACTGTGGCGAAAGGTACTGTTCTGCTCTCTGGTTGACATGTTGGCGTTCGCAGTAGACCTTGCGCAGCACTTGTAGGTACTGGCTCCGATCTCCTAATATCGCCACCTTCCTTGTAACGACTACTAGAGGCGACCAACTTCCGCAGTCTCTCAAAGTGATGGGCAAGCTGTGGAAGTTAGATGTATTTTGTCGAATCAGTACATATTCACGTGAAGAACGGTCGGAGCTGTGTTAGCGCGTCAACTACCAGTAGTTTGCGCTTAACAAACGCGCGACGAGCCGTTTGCAGTTGAGTAAGAGGAAACAGTGAAAGTGGTATTGCGGGTGCATGGGCGTTACAAGCCTGGACTGTCTCATCATCGATGCGACGATGCACTTTGGATTACCTGGGGTTGGTGATGGTGCGGTAGGTGCAGGCCAACCCTGGAACCTGTGGGTCAGGCAAATAAAGCGCGCATAGCATCCACCGTGGCTCTTTGCTTATTCGTAGCGCGACAATGGCGCGGAAAACGTGACGCGCTGTACTTGGTCTTCTATTAGGGGAACAAACAGCTAGTCGCACGTCAGATATCCTCGTTGAGGCGAAAAGTAGGTTCTTGATACGGGTGTCTACTGCTTCCTTCGCGTTCTTTTGCGTGGCTCTCTCCCAATATCCTCGATATCTGGTATCGCATTTTCCACATCTTCGGCTTTGATCTCATCCACATGCTCAACAATCTCCTCCTTCTTTACTATTGCGTCGCCTTCAGACGCCTCGACTTTCACGACAGCTTCCTCCCTCTTGACCTTTGTACGCTTTGCCACTACGGCTGATGGGCACAACCCTCTGTCTGCCAGTTTGCAGTCGCCACATTTCCTGCCTACTGGGAGACATATTGTCTGACCAAAGCCTACAAGCAGATTGTTAATGTCGTGCCATTTCTCTTTGGGTAGCCATGATTCCAACGCTGCGCGCGTCTGCTCCGGCTGTTGTGTCTTGTGCCAGCCCCATAGGTTGGTGATGCGATGAACATGCACATCAACGCCTATACCCTCAGTCCGACCCCAAGCTGCGCTCATTGTGAGATGTGCCATCTTCGGGCCTACTCCTGGCAGTGAGACTAGTCCTTCAATCGTGTCAGGTATATCCGAGTTCCACTTGTCTCTCAGTATTTCTGCAGTCTGCTTGATGTACTTGGTCTTGAGGTTGTGAAAGCCTACTTTGTTAATGAAGCCATTAAGTTCCGTGGGCTCGAGCGCGAGAACGGATTCGAGATTGAAGCCCTGGTAACTGTTAGCTGGAGCTGGATCGGATGGATCATATGCGACGAACTCCTGGCATTCTTTCCTGCATTCCCCATATTACAGGAGCCGTGACGGTATCCTTGGTTTGGCTGCTCAGCATTAATGCTATAAGCGTCTGGAATCGCTGATCTCGCGGTGTTCTGCTCCTGTCTGCCAAACTCTCACAGCCCATTGTGTCTACAGGCGCTGCGTTCTCGTTCCGCATCTCCCTTGTCAGGGCGTATATCTCCTCCCAGTTCGCAGGCGGCTCGATCTTGACGGTGCCATCACTGGCCGTTATCTTCTTTGCCGGTACACGGCGTGCTTTCTTGACTTTGGCATTTTTGACTGGTGACGGAATTGTGCTTATTGATGCCTCCTCGACTTCCTGCTTCACGGTAACGGATGCATCTTGCCCCTTTTTCCTTCTTTTGAGCGCTGGTTGCGCCTCACCATCTGAATACGAGTCTATCGGGGCTGAACTTGTCTTGAGGCCAGATTGAGAAGTGACATCAGTTTCGGCTTCCTGCTTGACGTGACTGGCGTCAACAGTGGACGCTGATGCGTTGATGGCGGACCGTGTTTGCCGTTGGGCGCGCTGAGCGCGACTCGCGGCCAAGATTCGGGCATTATCACGGGAGATGCGCGAGGTCCGCATTGCGCGCCAGCATATAATTTTATTGCAGCGATTCAAAGATAAGAGTGAGTGGTTGCTTGCAATTGCTAATGTTGAGAGGATGAAGGAAACATAGCGCGCAGTGATGACGCACACGCGGTCCCCTGAAGCAATTATAAGCCAATGAGCATAGTGCTGACTACACGCGACCTCGCGACAGCACGTGTGCGAGTTGCACGTGGCTGCCGACGACATGAAGCCAAGGCATTGTCGGCGTCTTGTAAACTCCAAGCTGTAACATGCGGCGCGATTGCTATCGTGAAGACCCTAGCTAGACCTTTGTATCAACCCGAGAAACTTCACGAGCCGGCATGGCGAGACGGGAGCCGAAATGTTTACCCAGTTGTTTTTCGGTTGCTACATGATTGGGGGAAATTGCAACAGGCGCACAGCCATGGTAGAGAGAGGTCTGAGTGCGAGCGGTTGAAATGCACGTTGTTGGCTAGCGCTTCACGGTAGACCCTGGAAGGTTGCAAGCAAGAAGCGATAGGGCCGAAAGCTGCGGGGGCGCCCGACTTGAGAGGTGTAGTGGGAAGGCGTACCACGGCACATGCCTTACGTTGATCTTTGGTTCTGTCGGAGCCGTGGGTGGTTTCATAATGCAGGAATTGCACTCTGAAGTCGACGGCGCACTGTCAAGCACAAGTTGCGACGTCGTACGACTATAGTGATTGGCGTGTGGCGCTGGCGTCGACAAGGTGGCGGTGTGTGGCGGCTCGTGGGGGGCAATTGAGGCTGGTGCGCTCACTAGTGCTAGACGGACTGGACAAGACGGGACGACTACTTGGTAAGACGGATGCAGCTTAACGTCATAGTACAGTACGGGGTCAAGGGCTCAGATCAGATCCACGTTGGTGCCACAACTGATACGCGCTGCATGTACAACTGCTCGTGTGCATTCAACAAAGGTGCACATGTTCGGTACTGCTTTGTAGGCTGCGTCACAACAATGAATGCAAAGCAGCAGTCATGGAGAAAGACAAGGGCTTCAAAGAAGAACAGAACGACAACCGCCGCACCTGCACAGATACACGTGTACAAGCCCTCCATTGTACCCTTGGTTTGTTCGGTATGCATGTAGATTGGGCCCAGCGCCTGTTTGGCTCAAACGGCGGCGGCTAGCCAGAGTTCATGGACGCCAGTGACGTCGCCAAGCCCCCGTCCAACCGCGCATCAAGGAATGCAAGGCTTGAAACACGTCGGCTACCCTAGTCACCCATGAATCCTTAACACCCTTTCAATACCGCCCTTGGTGCTTCTCTGATTCACTATCCTTTTTGCTTGTCTGCAGCCCCGCCACAGCAACATATCCCCAACGGCCTGCAACCGCACCCAACAACGGCTGCTCTCCTTTTAAACTCGGCCCATGGCCACCAGCACCTAAACCAACGACAGGGGCCACCAATTCACAACCACTCACATTCGGCGGCCTTGGCCACCCCACGGCGCACAACACCATGTCCAGCACTGCTGGTCCAGAGCCGACAAACACGGCCGGCCCTGGTTCCGCCCAGCGAAAAGAAAACCAGAGCATTGAGAATTTCGCCGCCTCCCTCTCGACCGCCGCCGTCATTTTCGGCGTGCAGATTGCCTTTTTCCTGATTCTGAGCGGCAACTGGAAACTGCATAAGAGAAGATCCAAGAAACTTGCAGAGGACACGAACAAGGACGGAGTATCGCGACAGAGCCTCTTCCACAAGATCTAGTATGCAGTAATACACTCTTGCTTTGCCACACATTTACTGACAACGACTAGCTACTACAAGACTGCCTTCGTCCCTGTCGCAAAACGCATCGCCGCCCCAGTAACCGCAATCGAGTCTTTCAAGAATGTCTTTACGATTAGCGATTCCGAGCTCATTCGCATCGCTGGTGTTGATGGCTATCTCTTTCTCCAATACCTCCAACTTTTGCTGCGCATATTTATCCCAATGGCTCTTGTTATCCTCCCAATTCTCTTGCCTCTAAACCGACTTGGCGATGTACCCGACGTAGCTGGCTTGGATTCGTTTGCCTGGCCAAATGTTGGCGTACCAGGAAAACACGGCCGATTGGTGGTGCATTTGGTTCTCGCCGTCTGCGTTATCTGCTGGGTCTGTTTCAACTTCTACTTGGCGCTCAGACAGTTTGTTCGCCTGAGACAAACTGTTCTCACCCGACCAGATCATCGTATTCGGGCTTCTGCTACCACGATTCTGGTCCAAAGCATTCCTAAAAAGTGGCTCACTGTTGCTGCTCTCGATGCACTTTACGACGTATTCCCAGGCGGTATCAAAGATATCTGGATCAATCGCGATTATGACGCCTTGATGGAAAAGGTGGACGAGCGGATCAAAGTCGCGCGAGCCCTCGAAGCCGCCGAGACGAACCTCATCATCGAATGCACCAAGAAACATAAGAAGATGCAAGAAAAGGCAGCAAAACAAGCAGGCGAGAAAAAGTCTAAAAAGGAGAAAAAGGAGGAAGAAGCCATGCGGAACCTTGCTATCAACCAGGAGACGCATGACCACGGTGTCGATGCTGGTAATCCGCACGAAATCGAGCAACAGCTTCAGAGTGTTCTTGCCGAGCCCGGTTCCTCTTCATCTTCGTCGTCTTCATCCAGGTCCTCTTCTCCAAGTCGCAAGCGCGGTATAATTCCTATTCCTTTGTTTGGCGAAGGCATACATGCAGTTGGTGAAGGATTTCGTGGGGTAGACCGATTTAACAAAAAGATGTACGGCAATATGCGAGGCGTCTTTGGTTCGAAACGTCATCGCAGCAAAGCCCCAAATTCTGAGCAAGAGCAAGCTGCTGTTGATGGGCCCAACGACATTGCCCAAACTTCACCAACTTCGGCCGAGTATAATCTGAGAGGCGCAAGCAGCGACACTCAAACTCCCCTAGCAAACAAAGAAAACTACTTCTCTGACGACCATGCCTCTGATGTGGACTCTCCGGCCCAGGATCTCAAAGCACCTGCGGTCGAGGCCGAGGAAGACGAGAAACCCCCTGCCAAGGTCGGATGGAGCCAGCCTATCAAGAAACTCAAATCTATATACGTTGGCCAAGGCGACTTCATAAGTCCTAAGCCATTCAAGAACAATGAAGCGCCACCAATGGAAGTCAAAGATGCCAGCAAGATCAAATACGATACGACCGGATTGTGGGATGAGGATTTCAAAGAGGACGACGAAGACGCTCTGTGGCGAAAGTATGTCAAACCAAAGGACCGAGAGACGATGCGCCTACCGCTGTTCAATTTTTCATGGTGGCCTTCTTTACCACTGATTGGGAAAAAGGTAGACACGATTTACCACTGCCGCAAGGAACTTGCTCGCCTCAACGTCGAAATCGCAGATGATCAGGCCCATCCGGAACGGTTCCCCTTGATGAACTCTGCTTTCATTCAGTTCAACCACCAGGTTGCGGCCCATATGGCATGCCAGTCTCTGAGTCACCACATTCCCAGGCAGATGAACCCGCGGACTGTTGAAGTCAATCCTAACTACGTACTTTGGGAAAATCTCACAATGAAGTGGTGGGAGCGCTATCTACGCTTTTTTGGCGTCGTTATTCTCATCGTCGGACTTGTCATCTTCTGGGGTGTGCCTGTCACATTTACCGGAGCTTTGTCTCAGATCGATACCCTCACCTCGTTACTCCCATGGCTCGGCTTCATTAATCGTCTTCCCGACTGGGTAGTCAGCTTCGTACAGGGTGTGTTGCCACCTGCGTTTTTGGCCATTCTCTTCGCTGTACTGCCTCTTGTTCTACGATTCCTAGCGGGTGTCACTGGTACAACGACATCTGGTGAGCGCGAGTTGCTTGTTCAAAACTTCTACTTCGCCTTCGTCTTCGTCCAATTGTTCCTCGTGGTATCCATTTCCACGGGTATCACGACGGCCATTGACGACCTCGTTAATGACCCTCTCAGTGTTCCGCAAACACTAGCCAAGAGTCTACCCAAAGCCGCCAATTACTTCTTCTCTTACATGATTCTACAAGCACTCAGTATTAGTTCTGGTACTCTGCTGCAGATTGGCGCCGTCGTTGTCATCATCTTCCTCCGCTTCATGGACACGACGCCTCGACAGAAGGTTTCAAGAGTGTTGCAAAGACCTGGAATTAACTGGGGTACTATGATACCCGTCTACACCAATTTTGGTGCAATTGGTAAGTGTACATATGTGCCTACTGCATGCTTTTCTAACAGTCAATAGGTCTTATCTACTCTGTCGTGGCACCCCTGATCCTTATTATGATGTTGATCACCTTCTGCCTCTTCTGGTTCACGTACCGCTACCAGATGATCTATGTTAGTTACGCTAAAGCCGAAACTAACGGTCTCATCTTCCCCAAGGCCGTCAACCAGCTATTTACTGGGCTTTACTTCTTGGAACTTTGTCTCGTTGGTTTATTCTTCCTGCAAGAAGACGAAGCTGGCAGACAGTCCTGTTTCCCTCACGCCATTGTCATGATTATCATGCTCATCCTCACTGCCCTTTTCCAGATGGTGCTTAACAGAGCGTTTGGACCACTGTTCACATATCTTCCTATTACGTTCGAAGACGAGGCGGTACAGAGAGATGAAGAGTGGCAGCGAGCCCAAGCCAGTCGATGGAAGCAAGCGGACGAGCACACGGCTCTCACCGCTCAAGAAGACACTCAGTCGACTTCCGGAGAACACGAAGAAACCCGTCTCGGAGAGGGAAAACGTCGCGAGTCCCATGGTCAGGAGGCCTATGAGTTGGACAATCTGGACAACGATATGTCGGGTGCAATCGGTCGATCGCCAAACCCAAGTGGTGGCCGTGATCCAAGCCGGACCGGTCGTTCCCGCCGCAGTTCCAACTCGCGCTCACAGTCGCGACACGCCCGTTCGCAGCGTAAGCAGAAGGAAAAACACGACCCATTCGATGTGATTACCAATACACTTAAGAAGGGTCTCGACGACGTCGCCAAACCCATGCGCGATGCCGAAGCACAAGTTCTTCCTGCTG